GTCACTAGGTATTAAAATTAACTTGGTGGTAGTGGGTCTAGTCCATAGTCCCTTCTCATTTTTAGAGAAATCACTTCCAACTCCTAGCAACCCTGTGACCATAAATTTTCATGAGAGCAGAAAGCCTCATCTTTCTCCTCTATGAGGCTGGTAAGTTTGAACTGTTGAGATTAACAGTCCAGTGCTTATCCTACAGTGCCACATCCAGGGCTCCTTTTGAACTTGTTATTAGAAGTTTTGAATATGTTGTAAACACCTGCAAATACTCTCACAGCTACACCTTATTTAAATTGCTCTTTAAGAAGTAACCTGCAGTGCTTTGGGAAGTTTGTGTAGCTCTAAATATAACAAAAGGAGCTTTGGTAGTGTAGTGGTTACGAATGGGGCTGCGAACCTTAAGGTCAGCAGTTCGAAACTACCAGCCACTCCACGGCAGAAAGAGGAGGCTTTCTGCTCCCGTAAAGATTTACAGCCTCGGAAACCCTGTACAGGGTCGCTATGGGTCAGAACCGACTCGACAGCACTTAACAACAACAAAATATAACAAAGTTACAAATGTTTGGTTCACACAGAGACCAGGGAGTCTTTTATTCTGACATTAATGTTGGCATCTGTGTAGAGATACATGCCCTAAAAGGTGAAAATGATGAAATTAGTATTGAATAAAATGCTTCTACATTTTAATTTCCACTTTACATTTTACTGTTATAAATCCTAAATGAGACTGATCATTTGCTAAAGTGTTTAGTTGCTTTAAAAAAATAAGAAATTACAGTCTCTTAATCATGTCTTTTCAAATGATAAATGAGTAGATAATTTAAAACTGGTTGTGACAATATTTTATCTATTTCTCCAAATGCTTGTGATTTTTAGTATATGTAAAATTGATAGATATGCCATGCGTTGGGGTCACTTTCAGATTGCTATGTAAAAGTTATAGTACAGTATTAAAATTTCAATTTTGTTGGCTACTGTTCTTATTCTCAAGACAAGCAGAATCGATTGATTTCTGTCTCCTTAAAAGTCAGTTCATGAAGTTAGATTTTAGAGTATGAAAATAAGAATGCAACAAGAACAGTAATAAATTTAATGGGCTAATTCTGAGGGAAAGGTTTTAAAAGTCTTGAGGGGAAGTATAAGCACTTGTGGACCAGTTTGAATGATTGCCTAACCAGAAGTTTAGCAAGAAGAACTTATTAGTAAGCGTGAGAAAAGATTCTCTGTGCCAAGCTGTCTCATTACTAAAAATGAGACTTAGCCTTGCTGTGTTCATCACGTATCGGCACACAAGTGAGTAATTAGAAATGCAGTCCTTCCTTCCTGATATTTGAAATGTATTCACTTCTCTTTTCTCTGGGACACATATCTTAAATTTTAGTGCTTCATTTATAACTTTTGTAACTTTGTGAATTATTTTCAGAGGGTTTTGAAAATATGCAAGTAAACTGCTGGAGGGAGAAGATAATCAGGATATCAGAGAATAGGGTTGACTAGTTGTTAAGGTGTAGAACAAAGGGGACAATCAGTAATTAGGTTTAGGTTTCCACACTGGAGCTGAGAATAGGGAGATAAGAATCTAGGTGAGAGCAGGGCAGCAAATGCTAAGAGCACAGAGATCAGAACAGGGCTGATAAAGCAAGGCATGGGAACAGCAGAGCAGATTGGGGTTTTTGGGTAAAACCCACAAGCCAACAGAACAGACTTTGTTGCTGCATCTAGGTCCAAAACAGCAGATGCCAGATTTAGATGGTTTTGGAGAGCATTATGGTGCACTCTCAACAAAGGAAGGTGGGTGGGAGGCCTTATGCTCTGTTAAAATAGCTTTTTTTCCCTCACTTTTCTGATTAGGTATTTTTAGACAGGTATTAATTTGAGTCACTTTCTTTTATCTGGCATTTTCTGATAATTTACCAATTCTAGATTATATTCTTTTCTGTCTTTGAAGCAACCTTAGGTTTTCTTTTTTAATTTCTCATAGGAATTGGCATGGCATTTTGCTGGCTGCTTGTAGGCTACTCCTATCTGCCTACAAGTGGCTATGGCCATTTGTGCTTCTGTTTTCTCATCAGGAAGTCATGGATAATGATAGCATCCTCATAGGTTTCTAATGGGAATTAATGAGATAACACACTGGGTGCTCTTGAAGTCTTGTAACCTAGTAAATGCTCAGGAAGTATTAGCTGTTTTATATCAGTACTAGTTTGGACTCTTTTTCCAACTGATGCTTGAGTCATTTTCCTGTCACCATTCTCTGCCCTTGCAATGCATTCTACACTGCCTCCTGCTAGAATGCTCTTCCTGACTGGGAAGAGGCAGAAAGGGTGAATGTCCTCTGATTAAAAGGTTCATACCCAGGATCGGACATTGTTTCGCTCTGCTGTGCATGGGGTCTCTATGAGTCGGTTCCAACTCCATGGCATCTGACAACAACAACAACAACAACATCATGCACATGATACAAAGTTCCCTACTCTCAGCTCAGGACTCCAAGTTCTGCATGTTTGACTTCATTTTCTTTCTCCTCTGTTTTTGTCATCCCTTGTTTCCAAGTTCATCTTCCCAGTCTCTAAAGCATAGGGCATTTGATTGCACCTCTTGCCTCATGTCTCTGAATCCCTCTTTAGCCCTGCATACACATTCATTTACAAACTGAAAACCTACTCGAAGTCCTAAATACTTAAAAGTTTTCTAAATGCCCAGTCCATCTCTAAATTCTTAAAAAATATATAATTTATAATTTGTGAAACATTGTTGTTATTGTTGTTAAGTGCCGTCGAGTCGGTTCCAACCCTGTACAGGGTTTACAAGGCTGTTAATCTTTATGGGAGCAGAACGCCTCATCTTTCTCCCGCGGAGCAGCTGGTAGTTTCCAACTGCTGGCCTTAAGGTTCGCAGCCCGATTCGTAACCACTACTCTACCAGAGCTCCAGTACGCTTTATACATGTGAGACATCGCTCAGGGAAGTTGAGAGCTTTAAGAGAGCGGAACTTATTTTATATCTTTGTTACCTAGTACTGCTGTAACAGAAATAGTACGGTGGGTGGCTTTAAAGAATAGAAATTTATTTCTCACTGTTTTGGATGCTAAAAGTCCATATCAGGATCTCTTCCTTGTCAGCAACACTGGATATTCCTTGGTTCCTTTGTATTCCTTGGCTTATAGACAGTACTCACATGGTGCCTGCGTCTATTCGGTAGTTTTATAACTCAGAAATGATTTAGGTTTACAATCTACCCTACACTTATATGACCTCATTACTTATATATCAAAAGGAAGCCATCCTCAGTTAGAAAGGCCAGGATACATTTTTGAGGGACACAATGCAATTCATGACACCTCAGTAATAGGCAAGTTCTAATTGTGTAAGTAAGTAACAGATAGGTTTCAATTGAATGGTTTTATTAAAAAGTTGTCACTGTTTCGAGCCCTTGCTACTTAATTGTGATTTTAATTAATCTTAGAAAAGGATTCAATTATCTATGCTCGATACCCACTCCATGGGAAAAAGAATTTTTAAATGTATACTGGGAATGAATATATAATGATTTAATTTATAGAAATTACCCTTCTAGCCATCCTTTCTGGAATTCCATTGACTTTTAAAAGTGAGGCACTTGTAGTTTTAAATGGTTACGTAACTTTCACACGAAACCTTTTTGTGGTTTCATGAATATAGTTAAAATATTCACATGAAGTGTAATGTTGCAAGCCCATCATTAATGCTTTAGCCTTCTATGAGAACAGTAATAGAGTCTTCATGGAAAGTCCTGTGGTTCATGTTCATGCATCAGTGTGGTTACCAGCCCTCCCTGTGGCCTCCTGGGACTTGGGCCTCCTGTGCCACTTTGACTTGCTCAGAACCGTAACCATCGTTTGTAATTGGTAATGATTTCTAGTATGCCTTGTCCACATACGTCTTTTCAGTTTGAAAGTTAATCCTTGTAATGTGAGATTAAATGTTACTTTTAATTTACTTTAGGACAGAGATTTTAATTGTGTTTTTCTCTAAGGTTTTTATTTTATGATGCCTTAAATATGTAAAAGAGCTTATTATTCAATCTACTTAAAAGTGATTTTAGGAAATATACTTAGTTTACCTATGTAGGTTTTGTGATTATAAAAATACAGTAGTGATTTGAAAATACAGTATTAATTTTTCATTTTATATATTAAAAACAGTACCATCATTTGGAATGTGGAGTCCGAAAGATTAGAGCAAGATATTTAGTGCAATGGTAGTGTTGTTGTTGTTAAGTGCCATCAAGTTGATTCTGACCCATAGCGACTCTATATAGGGTTTATGAGGAGCAGCTGGTGAGCTTGAACCGCCGACTTTGCAGTTCAAATGGCTTTGCAGTCTGGTGCATTGACCCACAGAGCCACACCAGGGCTCCACTGACCGATCCTGGTCCAACCTCATTACTATTGCCACGCTTCAGTCCATCGATGCTGCCGCTTGGCCAATCCATCTCATTGGGGGTCTTCCTCTTTTTCTCTGACCCTCCACCTTACCAAACATGACATGCTTCTCCAGTGACTGGTCCCTCCTGACAATATGTCTGAAGTATGAGAGACGAAGTTTGGCCATCTGTTAGTGTAGTACTAATTGGGCTGCATTTTTCTCATCAAAATTAGTTTCAAGAAGTTAGATAGGTCTTCATCTTCTTCCTCATATTTAGATAATATATCAATGAGAAAAATTTAAAATATATTTTTGGTTCTAGAATTTTGTTGCTTTTACTTCTCATTTGTATTTCAATTTGTTTTTTTAAAAAAGTCTGTTTTTGAAAATGTACACATACTTGAAATGGCACTATAGGACAAGTACCGGACTGCTAACTGGGAGGTTGGTGGTTCAAATCCATCAGCTACTCTTAGAAACCTGTACAGGATTGCTGTGAGTCGGAACCAACTTGACGGCACACAATAACAACAATTTGTTGAATATGAAGACATCATAAGTAGGAATATTATTACTTGACACATTTTGTCATTACAGGTATTCATCAAAGTAATAGATACAAATGACCATCGTCCTCAGTTTTCTTCATCAAAATATGAAGTTGTTATTCCTGAAGATACAGTGCCAGAAACGGAAATTTTGCAAATCAGTGCTGTGGATAAGGATGAGAAAAACAAACTAATCTACACTCTGCAAAGTAGTGTCGATCCCTCAAGTCTCAAGAAATTTCGTCTTGATCCTGCAACTGGGACTCTTTATACATCTGAAAAGCTAGATCATGAAGCCAGTCACCAGCATGTTCTTACGGTGATGGTGCGTCATTATGTTCATTCTTCTGCCGCCATTTCATTTGTTCCTGAAATGTTCCCTGCTCTTGAAACTGATTTTTAATCTTTTTTTTTTTTAATTCCAACAAGATTGATAATGCACTAATTCTTTTAGGTACGGGATCAAGATGTTCCTGTAAAGCGCAACTTTGCAAGGATTATGGTTAATGTCAGTGATACGAACGACCATGCCCCGTGGTTCACAAGCTCATCCTATGAAGGACGGGTTTATGAATCAGCAGCGATTGGCTCTGTTGTGCTACAGGTTACAGCTCTCGACAAGGACAAAGGGAAGAATGCTGAAGTGCTATACTCTATTGAATCAGGTATTTTTGGAGCACTCAATAGTTTTTAAATTTTGCACCGAATTTTAATTGTTGAAATATTTCTTTCCATGCATTGCTTCAAAACTTGCTAAAATTGATCTTTATCTTCATTTTGATAGGAGAAAATGAATGTTTTTCTCCCTAATGTTAGTAACACATTCGAAAGCAGAGAGTGATTAAGTTTGGATAAAATTTTTGGGATTTACAACATTAGCATAATTTGAGGCTCTGAAATGTTCTGCAGTAAAGAAACTGTAGTATTTCCAAAATTATTTTAACCATATAATCGTGATATCTGCTAACTAGGAAAATACTCATCTAGTCTTGTGACGTTTTACTTTTAGTAAAAGTATCTTATCATGAGCAGGGCAAGAAATTCTATGACAAAATATTGAATGAAGCATTTTTATGAAAAAGTGTGTCATGCACCTACTGTTCCTTCTAGGTATTGCTTTTCTACCACTTTGACTCCCATATACTTTTAGCAGTTATGTTTTTCTCATGGAATTTGATTATGGCAGCAGTTCCCAAAGGACTGGGAAGTAGATCCAGAAGAAATGTTGTTAAGGTTGTAGAGCCTGCAGGAGTAGACTGGACAAGAGGCAACAAGGGTAGGCAAGATATATCAGACCACTTGCACGGACCAGCCTAGTGCAAAAGAGCAAGCGATCCAGAGTCTTGTTGTTGGTAGTCTGTTTTATGCTGTTGCTCGTTCATTTACTCATTCCATAGAACAAACTCATTTATGTGCCATTGCTGTGCCAAGAGTGTAGTGCTACAGAGAAGATTGTAATCAGTGCAATGAAACAAACAATGAGTATAAAACTGATGTTCACCCATGTAATCTATCACTCAATTCACAATAAAAACTTGAACAAAAAAGGGAAGACTTAAAAGAGTGCAGTGCTAATTCATACTTGTACTTGATATGTAGGGATCACCATTATCCACAGATGGATGATTCTTGCAAAAGAATTCTGCCATTGACTAAAATAGACATCTAATTTAGAGTGTATGATTTATGCAGTCAGAAATCATCTTGTTTTAGGACTTCCCCTGCTAGGGCCAAGTACTGTGAATATGTGATTACAAGGGTAGCTTTCCATTTTTCCATCTTCTTCAGTTCCACTGTAGAACGTGCATACAGTCTCCCTTACTCTTCCATTTTGTAATGATTTTATAGTAGTGAGACTTTTCCATTTAGCCTAACTGAGGGGATTCAAAACATTTTATGGAAAATGGGATGATAAGAATTTTCCATGAACTTTTTTTTTTTTAATGTTTCATTGTGAATTATATGATAGTTTACATGGGAGAACATTAGTTTTACATTCATCCTATTGTATATCGTTTCATTGCCATGGTTCCAATCCCCTCCATGCATCATCAGCCAACCAAAGGGTATACCCTGCAAGCCTGCCCTCCAGTCGTCAGCACACAGCCTCTCTCCCTCTCTGTGTCTCAAGTCCCCAATGGCTCCATCTCTCCATGTCATTTTCTCTGCCTCCATCTCAGACATACTGCTGGTAGGGTCCCGCTCTCCACTCTTTCCATGAACTTTTCCACTCTTTTCATGAACTTTTTTTTTTGAAGCCACCTTGTATTTATAAATTGTGTCTTTTTTAGATGTTATAAAATTGTTGTTGTGTGCTGTTGAGTCGATTCTGACTCATTGCAACCTTATATAGGATTTCCAAGATTGGCTGGTGGTTTTGAACTTCCAACCTTGTAGTTCAAACAACCTTGCATTAACCCACAGCGCCACACCACTCCGGGCATGAAAATTGAAAGAGGTTTAATTTCACCTTAGGTCACATAATCAAAATTGGAGTAATTAAAAAAAACAACACAATGCTTGCCAACTCTTTATTTCTAAATATATTTAAGTTTCAGTTTTGTCTCTGAAAAGGAGTACATTGAATCCATTACTCACAAATAAGATTTTGTGTACTGGCTTTGATCACAGTGAATTGTAATGTGGCTGATGCCTTGAATAAAGGGTCTAATTTTTTTTAACTGGTTTAGAAATTCAGCATGTGGAAAAACAGTGCATTCCATTTGTGCATGCCTAAGCATTTCAATAAAATAATTTGATCCTCTACAAACTGACTGAGTTTGTGTAGGAGTAAATGTTAAACTTTCCCTTAGCTTTCACATAATTTACAACAACTGGGAGGTTGAAATATGATTGTTGGAGCCTGAGAAAAGGCATGTGCATTCTTTGAATTCTTATAATGACTGATGGAATTAGTAATTTGGTATTTCAAGAATGGAACTATGTCTTCATCCCAAAGAATAGCAAATAGAAAGAGCGTAATGCCATTATAGAAACTGGACTTAAAATTTAAAAAAAAAAAAAACACCATATATATACTTAGTAATTTAAAGATTATGCTACATGATTACTTTATAGGGAACTTGAAATGCAGTTGAATTGTGTGTATGTGTGTGTTTGTGTTTCTGCTGGAATAGTGTAAGCTATAAAATGGTGATATTGCCTTTCATTTAAAGGTTTATTCCTAATCACCTGCTTCTAATTTGTGTTAGATTACATTTAATAAAGTTAAAAAAACAAAAGAACAAGTTATAAATTCAGTCCATAACACTGCATGTTTAATTAGCAGCAGTTTATGAGCAAAAAGGTTTGGTCTGATTAGGAGTCTTTAGGGAAAAAGGAATTAATTAAAGGGTATTTTCACTAACAATTGAATTACGGACTAGAGACACATTAGTGCTATATTTTGGACTGTGCAGTGCTTTTTACCTCTTTTTTTAAATGTAGATTATTAGAGCACTACTTCTAAACTATTACAGTACCTAGAAATAGAAAACTCTCAACCACTGTATTTTCCTTATTATAAAGGGGATTTTCTTACCCAAAACTTAGGTTAAGTATCATTGTAATTGAAATTTAGGCTAAGTATCATTGTAATTGAAATTTAATAGAGGTAACCAGGCTGCTGGCCAGTCAGCACGCTCCCATGGAACACCATAGTGTATCCGTCCCGGAAAGAAATATCATTCATAGATTTCAGTGTTTGATGATTTTACTTATTTAATATCAGGGTATGTTCATGCCACTCAGCAATACCTCACTGATTTCCCACATGTTCTTGATGTTGCTTTCCTGTCTGCAAATCTGATGATTTCTGGTATAAGCAAGGAGACTTCAAACTGTTTGTAGAAATTTGGAATTAAAATAAAAATAACAAATATAAACTTGACTTCACAGCATAAGCTCTGTCAAGTTTTAAGACACTTATGTAAGGGGATGATACCAGTCATCTAGTCCATCCTTAAAAAAAATGAGTGTCCTTGGAATTTAGCCATGTCCATGCAGCCTTTTTTACATTATTAACTGAAGAAAAATGAGTACCATCTACATATTCTTTTAAGATTGGGAAACAAAAATAAATCAGAAGAAGCCAAGTTGATATTGTATGATGGATGCCTCTGATTCCCCATCCGAACTCTTGCCAAATTGCCTTTATTTGATGAGAGAAATTAGCAAGGGCTTCGTGGAGGTAAATGACTCTGGGACTGCTTTCCCAGACATTTTTCTACAAAAGCTTTAGCTAACTCTCTGAAAACACTGCTAATAAGCAGATATCATTGTTCTTTGGCCCTCCAGAAAGTCAACAGGCAAAATGTCTTGAGTATCCCAAAAATTGTTGCCCCGGGACGTTTCCTCTTGATGGATCTGTTTTTGCTTGACTAGACTATTTCTGCCTCATGATAGTTACTGCTTTGATTGTACTTTGTCTTCAGGATTGTACTGGTAAAGTCATGTTTCATCTCCTGTTACAGTTCTTCAAAGAAATGCTTCAGGATCTTGATCCCACTTGTTTAAAATTTCCATCTGCTCTTGTCTGCAGCTGATGTGAGCCCAACCATTTTGGCATGCATAGAGCAAAAAAATTGTTAAACTTTATTTTCTAGTATTATGTTGTTATTGTTAAGTATTGGCGAGCCGGTTCCGACCCATAGCAACCCTGTATAGGGTTTTCTCAAGAGTAGCTAGTGAGCTTGAACTGCCAGCGGTTCATACTGACTTTTGTAGTCCAGTGCATTAACCCACAACGTCACACCAGGACTCCAGTATTATTCAGATAAGGGACTCTTTTCAAACTGATGTCCTATCCTCCTTAGTGTTTCAAATTAGATCCTATTCAGACATGTTATAACAAATTATTGCTGTTGTTTTAAAAATTGTCTGTAGTTGTTTAGCACCGTTGAGTTGTTTCTAATAACGACCCTGAATAGGGTTTCTAAAAAGCGATTGGTAGATTTGAACCACCAACTTTGCAGTTCAAACTGACCTTGTGGCCCGCCCAGTGCTTATCCTATAGCAAGCACCACATTAGTACAAGTTTATTTTGATACAAAAAAAAAAAAAGAAAAAATTAATATGCTGTTCTTAAATGCTGTCTAGTTGGTTCTATCTCATGGGGACTCTGTATAGGATTTCCAAGGAGCAGCTGGTGGGTTTAAACTCCTGACCATGTGGTTAGCAGTTAAATGCATATCCTACAATACTACAGCAGGACTTCAAAATTAATACGTTTCCCCTTAATACATATTTTCCCTCAACTTTTTGGAGCCTCATGTACACATGTGGGATCTGAATGTTACAACCATATATTCAGTAACTGGGTTCTTGTGTACTGTTCTTGTTACCAGTAATAAGCTCAGGTCTGTCTACATGTCAAGGTACTCCAGAGAATAAAGAACATATCTGAATTTCACATGGCTGATAACATTTTTCAATCAGATTCCCAATTAGATGGTACATTCCTCTTGTTAACACTTTCAAATGATTTTTCTCTAAAAACCTAGAGTAACTGGAATTGAGAGACCAAAAGCCTGGAAAAATTATATTCACTAAGACATTAAACATATGGTTCTATTTTATTTGGTTTAACTGATTTTTATGCTCCCGTCACTACCTACATCTGAGTGGATTTCTGGTATGGCACTGTAGGTTAAACACTGGACTGCTAACCGCAAGGTTCAAATTCACCAGCTGCTCCTTGGAAATCTTAACCAGGGTCGCTATGAGTTAGAACCAACTCGATGGCACTAAAAAACAACAGCTACATTTCAGTATATTCATGTGTGAAAGTTGTTTCATTCAATATCTATTTACTCAGTGCCCGCAAGTGCCCATCAGGTTATTTTAGGTACTATACTAATGAGCAAGGCAGGCCATGCTTAAATGGAACCATCTTTCTCCTTCAGCATAACTGGTAATTTCGAACTGCAGACCTTGAGACTAGCAGCCTTACTCATAACCTCTATGCTACCAGAGCTCCTTTATGGTCTAGAGAGAAAGCAAATGATTGTTGTTGTTAAATGCTGTCAAGTCAATTCTGACTCATAGCAAACTTGTGTAGGGTTTTCCATGGAGCAGCTGGAGAGTTTGAACCACTGACCTTGTAGTTTAACTGACCTTGTGGTCTAGTACTTTATCCAGTGGCGCCACACCAGGACTAGCAAGTTAAAAATGAACATAAAATGAATGCAATGCCAGGTTGTGATACATGCTGTAAAGGAAAGTGCAAGGTAAAGAGCTATGAACAGCCATGCTGAATAGAGAAAGGAGGTCAGGGAAAGCCTCTCTGTGCAAGGGGCACTCAAATAAAATGGAAATAAATAATGAAGTGAATGAATAAATGGATAGAATAGCTGAGGGAAGTGCCTTCCAGTCTACAGAAAAACCAAATGTGTAGAGGTCCCAGGTGTGAACTGGGCACTTGACTGAAGAAAGTTCAAGGGGTGAGAATGAAGACGATTGTCAAAAGGTTACTGCAATCTCCTGTGGCAGGCCAGCCAATCACTTGCAATTTTGGGAGGTGGGAGTGATATACAGGTAGGATAAGAAAGAATCTTGGAGTTCTGTTGACTGACTTAACTGCAGTTGAGTGAGAATCCAGGACTGTTGACTGTGTAAATACAGACAGGCCGGAAGTAACTATTTGCAAAGTCTGGTAGAGGCGGCAGGACCGACCTCCTCCTCCGGCTAGATTCAGCTCAAGAGTTTAGGGCCAAGGGAAAGCTTGGGCCTCCGCCCTGTTGCAGATGGAAGCAGAGCCTTGGGGCCTGGACACAGAGCCAAGTGGATTTAATGAAAACCAGACCGGGTCTGGGCTAAGAAAAAATTGCTATGGACTTTTAGAAAATGTATTACAGAAAGGAAATGGAGACTGTAGAGGAAGTATTTACTATTAATGATGTGGAGGGAAAAAAAAGTGCTGGACCAATCTACTGGTTTGCAAATTATACTAAGTACTGCAATTCTAGGCAAATAATGCACTTTAATTTTTTCTTTCTGTGCAACACCCCTCATATCAATTTCCTATGCTCTTTGAGTCCAAACTGACTAAAGGGCACACACAACAGCAACATGCATGCTTTGGGTATTATTTGCATGATCGTGTTATTTGTAAAAAAAATATAGTAGCTGTGGTCTGTGAAATGTCACACTAATTGAAAACCTAGAAGAAAACAGAATTTGAGAAGACAAGTTCACTTTGAAATTCATTTGAGGAAAATAAATTCAGCTCTTTGACTAGATAATGGATTCTGTATTCTTTTTTGTGGTCCAGAAAAGGGATAAAGGGCTCACATCAGTAAGTGAAACCTCAGAGACCTTACACACGTCCATCATCTATCAAAAAAGGATATAGAAAACTTTTTTTTTCCTAAAAAGATTTCTACCAGTGGTACCCAGATAAAAATATTTGTGGGAGTTGTAGTTGCAACTAAATAGAATGTAGCTGGGAAAAAATCCAAAGAAAGAAAAATGATCTAGAACAGTACTGCTCTACCTCAGCACTCTTTTGACATTTTCTGCTGTTTCATGTATGTACATTGGAGACATGATGTAGCACTGTAGGATAAGTACTGGACTGTTAACTACATGGTTGGTGATTCAAACCCACCAGCCACTAATACAGGATTCCAACTCGATGGCCCTTAACAACAACTTGTACATTAGGAAGTTTAACAGCATCTCTGATCTCTTCCCTGAAGGTGTCAGTAGTAACACACCCCCACCCCCATTGTGACAATAGAAATATCTCCAGACATTGTAAAATGCGCCCCACCCCAAATGTTAACATAAAAGATAAATTGGCCTGAAAAAGATCAAGAAAGGAATATTGCTCGAGGGTTCAAAATTTTTACAGTGGACTTGGTTATACAAATTTATTCTTCAAATCCTTGCCTACTTAAAAACCTACTGGCTTGAAGCTTGTAATTCTCCTTATGAATTGAAATCTTTGTTATGGATTGAATTGTGCTGTAGGATAAAGCACTGGACCACAAGGTCAGTTCAAACTCAGCAGCCACTCCTTGGAAACACTATTACAGGGTCACTATGAGTCAGAACTGACTGGACAACACTTAACAACAACAACTACAAAAGTGTTTTATAAAACCTAACTCCTGTACTTTTAGTAGTGAAAGTCCACGTGTGGTGCTATAGAATAAGCACTGGACTGCAAGGTTGGCTTGAATTGCAAAATCAGTGCTTCACACTCACCATCTGCTCCTCGAAAATTTTATATAGTTACTAAAGTACTCTAGTAATAAAGTGGTTATGAGTTGGGTTGCTAACCTCAAGGTCAGCAGTTCGAAACTACCAGCCGTTCCATGAAAGAATGATGAGGCTTTCTTCTCCCATAAAGATTTACAGCCTCGGAAACCATGTGCCAGGGTCACTATGAGTTGGAACCAACTTCACGGCACACAGTCACCACCACCGCCATGAGTTGTAACTGACTCATTGATACTTAACAATAACAACAACAGCAACAACATACCTTTGGTGGAGTCCTGGTGTGGTGCTGTGGGATAATGCACTGAACTATAAGGTTGATTTGAACTGAAAAGCCAGTTGGTCAAACCCACCAGCCACTCCTTGGAAACCCTATATAGGGTTACTATGAGTTGCACCAACTCAAAGGCACTTAACAACAACATCAACAAATAACCACAGGGTCAGCGGTTCAAACCCACCTGCCACTTCGCAGAAACCCTATACCAGATCTCTGACTTGGAACCAACTTATTGGCACTTAACAACAACAATGTGCTTTTTTTTTTTTAATTGTAATCTCATTTGGGAATAGATGTTCTTTGTTATATTGACAGGCCATGTCAGTGTAGGATGTGATTGAAGTCAACGTGTAACATAAAAAAGAACAGATTAGGAATAGCGAGGCAAGCAGAGATAAGGGAAGAAAAAACAGAAGTCACTTGAAATCACCCAGGAGTAGAAGCTCAAATGAGGCAAGAGTCTTCCTCCAGAATTTACAGAGAGAAAGCCATCCCCTCATGCCAGTACCCTGAGTTCAGACTTCTAGTCTCCTTAACTGAGAACTAGGTTTCCTTGTTAAAGCCGCCCATATGTGGGATTTCTGTGATAGCAGCAGTGGGTAATAACTAAGACAGCTTTCTGCTTCCTAATGAGGAAGAGACTTGGGAGTATGCAAGTAGTAAATGCTGAAGCTAACATTTTCTAAAGGAGTTTTTCATGTGTTCCCGAACATGTCCTTGTGCAACACACTGCTAGTCCCATTAATGAAGAGAATAATTCATTTAATTTAAGGCATAGAGTGTTGTGTTCATGTATTTTTTTCTTACATATATTTCTTCATATTTTTTTTATAGTTTTATAGATAAAACTCTGAAAAGTATCTTATTTTAGATGGATAGCATTGAAACAAATTTAAGGTTGCTGTCAAATGTTAATTGTCTGAATTTTTGTTTAATTTGAGAATGTAATTTAAAAAGCATTTTTTAAATATTTTCATTTATTTCTGCTGCTCCAATTGCATGCATTTTTCTCTAACAGATCTTTTTTTCTTCACTCAGGAAATATTGGAAATTATTTTACAATCGATCCCATCTTGGGCTCTATAAAAACTGCCAAAGAATTAGATCGAAGCAACCAAGTGGAATATGATTTAATGGTTAAAGCTACTGATAAAGGAAATCCACCAATGAGTGAGATAACATCTGTGCGCGTCTTTGTCACCATTGCCGACAATGCCTCTCCTAAATTTACATCAAAAGAATATTCTGTTGAAATTAGTGAAACAATCAGCATTGGGAGTTTTGTGATAATGGTTATGTCCCATAGTCAGTCATCAGTAGTCTATGAAATAAAAGATGGAAATATTGGCGATGCTTTTGATATCAACCCACATTCCGGAAGTATCATCACTCAAAAAGTCCTGGATTTTGAAACTTTGCCCACTTACACATTGATAATACAAGGAACTAACATGGCTGGCTTGTCCACTAACACAACTGTTCTGGTTCATCTACAGGATGAAAATGACAACGTGCCAATTTTTATGCAGGCAGAATATACAGGACTCATTAGCGAATCAGCCTCAATTAACAGTGTGGTCCTGACAGACAGTAGTGTCCCATTAGTTATTCGAGCAACTGATGCTGATAAGGAATCAAATGCTTTGCTTGTTTATCACATCGTTGAACCATCTGTACACAAATACTTTGCCATTGATTCTAGCACTGGTGCAATTCATACAGTACTAAGTTTGGACTATGAGGAAACAAGTGTTTTTCATTTTACTGTACAAGTGCACGACATGGGAACACCACATTTATTTGCCGAATATGCTGCCAATGTGACTATCCGTGTAATTGACATTAATGACTGCCCTCCTGTGTTCTCCAGATCATTATATGAAGCCCCACTTTTGTTGCCAACATACAAAGGCGTAAAAGTCATCACAGTAAATGCTACAGATGCTGATTCAAGTGCATTCTCACAGTTAATGTATTCTATCACTGAAGGCAACATCGGGGAGAAGTTCTTTATGGACTACAAGACTGGCTCGATAACTGTACAAAACACAACTCAGTTAAGAAGCCGCTATGAGTTAACCATTAGGGCATCTGATGGCAGATTTGCAAGCTTTACCTCTGTGAAAATTAATGTGAAAGAAAGCAGAGAAAGTCAGTTAAAATTTACCCAAGATTTGTATTCTGTGGTAGTGAAAGAGAATTCTACTGAAGTGATGACATTAGCTGTGATTACTGCTATTGGGAATCCAATCAATGAACCTTTGTTTTATCATATCCTCAACCCAGATCGAAGATTTAAAATAAGCCATACTTCAGGAGTGCTCTCGACCACAGGCATACCATTTGATCGTGAACAGCAGGAGGCATTTGATGTGGTGGTAGAAGTTACAGCAGAACATAAGCCTTCAGTAGTTGCTCATGTTGTTGTGAAGGTCACCATTGAAGACCAAAATGATAATGCACCAGTGTTTGTCAATCTTCCTTACTATGCTGTGGTTAAAGTGGATGCCGAGGCAGGTCATATTATTCGCTATGTTACCGCCGTAGACAGAGATAGTGGTAGAAATGGGAAAGTGCATTACTACCTTAAGGAACATCATGAACATTTTCAAATTGGACCCTCTGGTGAAATTTCACTGAAAAAGCAATTTGAACCTGACACCTTAAATAAAGAATATCTTGTCACAGTAGTTGCAAAAGATGGAGGAAGCCCAGCTTTTTCTGCTGAAGTTATAGTTCCCATCACTGTTATGAATAAAGCCATGCCTGTGTTTGAAAAACCTTTCTACAGTGCAGAGATTCCTGAGAATATCCAGATGCACAGTCCAGTGGTCCACGTGCAAGCTAACAGTCCAGAAGGATTGAAAGTGTTCTACAGCATCACAGATGGAGATCCCTTCAGTCAGTTCACCATCAACTTTAATACAGGAGTGATAAATGTCATCGCTCCTTTGGATTTTGAGTCCCACCCAGCATATAAATTGTGCATACGTGCAACTGACTCTTTGACCGATGCTCATGCTGAAGTATTTGTTGACATTATAGTGGAAGACATCAATGATAACCCTCCAGTGTTTGCTCAACAGTCTTATGCTACAACTCTGTCGGAGGCTTCTATAATCGGAACATCTGTCGTTCAAGTTAGAGCAACAGATTCTGATTCAGAACCAAACAGAGGAATTTCATACCACATGTTTGGGAATCACAGCAAGAGTCATGATCATTTCCACATTGATAGCAGCACTGGTCTCATTTCACTAGTCAGGACTTTGGATTATGAAGAGTTCCAGCAGCACAAGATTTTTGTAAGGGCCATTGATGGTGGCATGCCCCCCCTGAGCAGTGATGTGATTGTCACGGTGGATGTCACAGACCTCAATGATAATCCACCACTGTTTGACCAGCAGGTTTATGAAGCCAAAATAAGTGAGCATGCCACCCATGGGCATTTTGTGACTTGTGTAAAAGCTTATGATGCAGACAGTTCAGACATAGACAAGTTGGAATACTCCATTCTGTCTGGCAATGATCATAAGAATTTTGTCATTGACGGTGCAACAGGGATTATCACACTCTCAAACCTGCGCCGGCACACCTTGAAGCCATTTAACCAGCTTAACATTTCTGTTTCTGATGGAGTCTTTAGAAGTTCAGCACAGGTCCAAGTAACTGTAATTGGAGGCAATTTGCACAGCCCTGTTTTCCTTCAGAACGAATATGAAGTAGAGCTAGCTGAAAACGCTCCTTTGCATACTTTGGTAACTGAGGTTAAAGCAACTGATAAAGATTCTGGTATTTATGGCCACATCACTTACCATATTGTAAATGACTTTGCAAAAGACAGATTTTACACAAATGAGAAAGGGCAGATATTTACTTTGGAAAAACTTGATCGAGAGACTGCAGCAGAGAAAGTAATCTCAGTTCGTCTAATGGCTAAGGATGCTGGAGGAAAAGTTGCTTTCTGCACCATTAATGTCATCCTTACAGATGATAACGATAATGCACCCCAGTTTCGAGCAACCAGATATGAAGTAAACATTGGATCTGATGCACCCAAAGGGACATCAGTTATTAAGGTTCTTGCAAGTGATGCTGATGAGGGATCCAATGCTGATGTCGCCTATGCCATTGAAGCCGATTCTGAAAGTGTTAAAGAGAATTTGGAAATCAACAAACTATCTGGTGTAATTACCACAAAGGAAAGCCTAATTGGATTAGAAAATGAGTTTTTCACTTTCTTTGTTAGAGCTGTAGATAATGGGGCTCCACCAAAAGAATCTGTTGTTGCTGTCTATGTTAAAATACTTCCACCGGAAGTGCAGCTTCCCAAATTCTCAGAACCATTTTATACCTATACTGTTTCTGAAGACATGCCTATTGGAACAGAGATAGATCTCATCCGAGCAGAACATAGTGGGACTGTTCTTTACAGCCTAATCAAAGGGAACACTGCAGAAAGTAACCGGGATGAGTTCTTTGTGATTGACAGACAAAGTGGGAGACTGAAACTGGAGAAGAGTCTTGATCATGAGACAACTAAGTGGTATCAATTTTCTGTACTAGCTCGATGCACCCACGATGACTATGAAGTGTTGGCTTCTGTAGATGTTAGTATCCAGGTGAAAGATGCAAATGATAACAGTCCTGTCTTGGAATCTAATCCATATGAAGCATTCATTGTTGAAAACCTGCCAGGGGGAAGTAAAGTCATCCAGACCAGAGCTTCTGACTTAGACTCAGGAATCAACGGCCAAATTATGTATAGTCTAGATCAGACACAAAGTATAGAAGTCATCGAGTCTTTTGCCATTAACATGGAAACAGGCTGGATTACAACCCTAAAGGAACTTGACCATGAAAAGAGAGACCATTACCAGATTAGAGTGATTGCCTCAGATCTTGGAGAAAAGATTCAGCTGTCCTCCACAGCCATTGTGGATGTCACTGTAACGGATGTCAACGACAGTCCCCCACGATTCACGGCAGAGATATATAAAGGGACTGTGAGTGAAGATGATCCTCCAGGTGGTATCATTGCCATTTTAAGTACCACAGATGCGGATTCTGAAGAGATGAACAGACAAGTTACATACTATATAACAGGTAAGAGGGTTCACATCAGACTATCTGATTTGAAATTAATGTATTAAATAAATTCTAAGCATACATTTTATGGAACGTCAGAGTCAAAGGGATGATTTTAGTTAAATGTATATCTAATATAAGTAGAAATAACATCTAATAAAATAGGTTTCAAGATCATTACCAGAGCAAAGCTAAGAATTGTTTCCTTGGACTCTTGATTTTTAGGGCTTATATACTGTTGAATTTTACACTTGGTATATAACAAATATAGGCTAGTTTTGTTTTTTAAAGTGTAATTTCCTTGTACAATAAATTATTGTTTATTAGCCTTTAGTTTTAAGGAGACCTGGTGGTGTGTGGTGGATTATGCGTTGGGCTGCTAACCACAAGGTCAGCAGTTTGAATCCACCAGCTAGCTACTCTTCAGGAGAAAGATGAGGCTTTCTGCTCCCGGAAAGATTTACAGCCTCTGAATCCCTATCCAGGGTCACTGTGAGTTGGAACTGACTCGATGGCATGCCACCACCAACATCTCCACCAGCCTTTCATTTTGTGTTTAAAATATTTTTTATTGCTTTTATTTATTTTATAAATAGGATTACTAATACAAGTATATACCCAAGTTAAATGTAATTAATGTTTTTTAAATCCTTAGTTTTTTAGAATAAAAGCATTATGTATATTTTTTAATAGCTTACTTTTCCTGGTACCTGATCTCTGTCCTTGTTTGCATATTTTTCTCCAATGACTTAATAGGAGGGGATCCTTTGGGACAGTTTGCTATTGAGAATATGCAGAATGAATGGAAGGTCTATGTGAAGAGACCACTGGATAGGGAAGAAAAGGATAATTATCTTCTAACTATCACAGCAACTGATGGGACCTTCTCCTCAAAAGCCATAGTTGAAGTAAAAGTTCTTGATGCAAATGACAACAGTCCAGTTTGTGAAAAGGTAGGCTGTACTCTTCTTAAAGTTATCTATTATGAGTTGAAATTGCCTTAAAACTGAGTAATACTATCATGAAATTTTTTGATGTAACTGAAACATGATTTCTATTATCGCTTACAGTTTGAGGTGAGGATTAGATGTGTACAAGTTTGAAATGCTTCAGGACAACTCATATTTTCAGAATGCTGTGTAGCTCAAAAGCCTCTTTGAATAAGCACTGGACTGCTAACTGAAAGGTTCGCAGTTCAAACACACCAGTTGCTCTTGGAAACCCTATATAGGGTTTCTATGAGTTGGAACCAACTCATTGGCACAGAACAACAACAAATGCAAAAATGCTTTGTAAATTTTTGATGAAGGGCTTCCTTTTATTTGGGGTGAAGTCATTTTGGGGAGAAATCTGGCCAGCCATTCACTGTACAGTTTTCTTTTCCAATTTGACAAATACACAAATGAAACCAAGAGGTCACCAGTGTGACTTCTTAACCTGTGGAACTCATCATTAGATGCAGGAACAAAATACATACCAAAGAAAAGCTGTCCCTATTCAAGGTTACTTGAGGGGATGCTGTGAAGAGATGGGGCTTCAGCTTAGCATTTGGAGACAAGATTGGTCAGACATCAAAATAGATATGGAAAGACCTTGGACATGAGGGAGGTGAATTGGGTGTGTGGGAATAGTAAGTGGTTTAGCTTATCAGAAATTTGTATTGAGTCATGGGAAATAAATCTGAGAGTAGGGTGGGGGGTGGGTGGATGAAGATGGGTAAACTATTAGAGGAAATTTTAAGGGCCATTCCAGGGAATTTGGATTCGATTCTAGGGAAACGAGAGACTCTGAATCCTTTTATGTTTGAAAGCTGGATGTGACGGACGATTCAGGATTTGCCTAAAGATCAGCTTGGTGTAGTATGTTTATTTTTTAGATGAGGACGAGTGAAAACAAACAGGGAAATAACAGTGTAGGCAGTGGTGACTGATGGAATGAAAGGATAGAAGGCACTCTCTAGGGAAAAAACAAACAAACAAACAAAAAAACTGATAGTGTTTGGTCCCTACCTGCATGGGGCAGCATTGTAAGAATGGTGAGTTGTTGCCTTCAACGTTCCCTACAAAAGTGATTGGAGTATGACCAAAGCGATGATGAAAATGACCGTAGAAGGGAATTGATTTTAGAGGAAGTATGTTGAGTTGCAGTTCAGATTTGTTAAGTTTAAGGGAATGAGTCATGCATGTTCGTGAGTTCTTTAGAGATGGGCAAGAGTAAGGGTAGATGTTAGTGAAGGGTAAGTACACTTGGCAGTTTCTGTGGATAACTGATCATCATTGAGAGAATAATTAAAAGGGAATAAAAGAAGAGACAGATATTTCCATGGGGAGAAAAATGGAGAGAACAGACAGAAGGAAGAGAACAATGCCATGTAAGTTGAAAGAAGAATTTTTAGGAGATAGGGAGTCCTGGTGAGGCGCTGCTGGTTAATGTGCCCTGCTGGTTAATGTGCAATGTTGGTTTGAACCATAAGGGAGGTGGTTCAAGCTCAGAGCTGTTAATAGGGAGACAGATATTTAGAGTTCTTGTGAGTATGAAAAATGTAATCAGTGTCACTGAATTGTACATGTAGAAATTGTTACAATGATGTATTTTTGTTATGTGTATTTCCACAACTATTCAAAAAAGAAAAAATCCAGACAGTTCTGAGGGGAATGACGACTTTCAAGAGTAGCAGAGTTAATTCCCATCCATGTTTGTGCTATTTAGTGACAATATTTCAAAAATTATATACATGTACATGTATATATGATGTGTGTGACTATATAGTGTGTGGTATACACATAGACATGTATGTGAGGTATAATATAAATAACAAAACACAAACCTGTCCTAACTTTTTAAGAAATGCATATCTCTACATACTTAAAATCGTGTCTTTCTTAGGCATTCAAGTTGGAATAGGCATCAATTTCACTTTAGATCATGCAATCAAATTCTGAGTACAATAGGAACAATAAAAAGCAAACAAACAACACTTTTCAATCTTTTTTATGTGGCTAAAGTATTGTTCTTATTATTTATTTTAGGATGTTCATATTATTTGGAAGTTACCCAGTTATCACCTCTGGGAATAATAAAATTAAGACAATAGATACTTGAATTCTTCAGTATTGCACAATATTCTGTTTCATGTGCTTTCAAATCCAATTCAACTGTAATTGAGCTAATATTAGAAAAAATAAGTATATCAAAACCATACCTGTTTCTCTTATGTTTTAATTTTTGGCTTGAATTCCTGTTAGTTGGAACTGGACACTGCTGTTTTGTATTTCAGAATTGAGTCCAATGTGAAATTGGAATTGAGAGTAATAGAAGAAGCATGGTCTGAACTTCACTTGCTACCTCAGTGGTGCTGGGGAATCTTAGTTTTCTCCATAATGCGGGGATCACTTCTGTCCCAACTGAAGTTATTAGATTGCAGATAGCAAATTTCCAGTATTTAGACATATACAGAGTGCTATTTACATTTTCTCCTAAGAATTTAAGTTAAACTAAATATAATACCAACTATATGACATCAATATTCTGTAAGGTAAAGGCCATTCAGATGCTTTCTGGGATGCAGAGTTATTAACTGTTACATGAGTTCTTGTTTCAAATGCATTTGATAAAAAAAATAATTACAAAAGCTGTGGATTTCAACTTTAGTCATTTCTCAGGTTTTCTAGCGCCAAAGTTAAAGGACTTATTTTCCCTCATCCCCTTGGCAATCATGCTGACTTTTAATATTTTATGCTAATAATACTGTCAAAAATCTCTTTAGACTGTATATTCAGACACAATTCCAGAAGACACCCTTCCTGGGAAGTTGATCTTGCAGATCTTTGCTACAGATGCAGATATCCGTTCCAATGCTGAAATTACTTATACATTGTTTGGCCCAGGTGCAGAAAAATTCAAACTAAATGCAGACACAGGTAATACTGATATTTGGGGCAAATTGTACATTCTAACAAAAATCATACATGCATTCTAACAAAAATCCAAACGTGAGATTTGAAATTAAATTTTATTCTTTTGAAATTTTCTCTGCTGCTACAAAATTGACGTTTTAGAAACATTAGCAGCAATTGATAAAAGTATCACCTACTTCAACTGAGAATTAAAAACTTAAGTTATTTACATCAACTTATCTTTAAAAAAAGAACTCAGAAGTTAAAGCAAATCTCAAACTTCTTGCTTTATTCAGTTTCACATATAGCTTTTTTCACAAATTTATAATTTAGCATATTTATAATTAAAATGACTCACGGTGTTATATTCATTGTTAAATAGCTAGAATTGTTTTCCTCCTGTAATCTGTCCTTTGTTAAAATTGGAGTTAGAGTAAGAGTTTTCTTTTAATATTATCTGCACCCTTTCCCCCTCTTTCTGAAGACCTGAATATGAACATATAAATTTATTTTTTGAGTTAATTTATAAAATTTTTCAGTTTAATAAGTTAGGTAACTATTTGCTTTTGTGACGTACATAAAATGCTGCAAGAGGCCTTGGCCTTGGAGCTTTATAACTTTAATGAGGTTGTACCTGGCAGGGCTGAGAAACCTGGCAGATCAGTGTGCTAATGCAGTTGTTGCTCCTGCCATCGATTAAATTGTTCCCCGAAAGATGACTTACTCAAATTTTCACTTGTAAAGAGAAAGGGGAACACATAAGATTCAGTATTTCGTTTGATGTCTTAAAAATTTCAAGCAAGTCCATTTATTTTTGTTTGTTGTTTCTTAGGTGAACTGAAAACATTAGCTCCTCTTGATCGTGAGGAGCAAGCAGTTTATAATCTTCTAGTCAAGGCTACAGATGGAGGTGGAAGATTCTGTCAAGCTAGTATTGTGCTTACATTAGAAGATGTAAATGATAATGCTCCTGAATTCTCTGCTGATCCGCACACCATCACTGTGTTTGAGAACACAGAACCTGGAACGCTGTTGACAAGAGTACAGGCCACAGATGCAGATGCAGGTATCAACAGCATGATGCTTTTGTCTTCAGAATGAGCACTGCGATCTTAGGAAGCTCTGTTTTAAAACACATTCTAATCCTGTGTGTTTGCCTTTCATGCGTGATGACTGATTCCCACTGTGGTATTTAATTCCTTAGCACCACTCATCTGTCTGTTTGTCCTGCTGTGCTGGCTTTTTTGTTAGCATGATGCTGGAATATTTCAAATACCAGCAGCTTCAACCATGACAGACAAGTTTCAGTGGAACATCCACACTAAGACCAGGAAGAAGGATCCTGGTGACCCACTTCTCAATAAGAACAAAAACAACAAAAAGGGCCAGTGAAAACCTTATAAATAACCGTGCAATGTTGTCTGTTAATGACAGAAGATGATCTCCTTGGGTTGGAAGGCACTCAGAATACACTGGGAAAGAGCTTCCTCTTCAGAGTGACCTTAGTGATGTAACTAGAACAAAGCTTTCAGGATCTTCTTTTACTTTTGTGGCATAATTTAAAATTAGAAGAAACAGCTGCAAACGTCATTAGTAATGTGAATGTGGAATATATGAATATGTGTCTAGGAAAATTGAAAGTTGTCATAAATGAAGCAGGACACAAACAGTGACATTTTAGGCTGTAGTTAGCTGAAATGAATTGGTATAGGATATTTTGAATCAAATATTCATATGGTCTGCTATGCCGAAAATGACAGAAGAAGAATGATGTTACATTTATTGTCAAAAAGAACATTTCAAGGTACATCTTTAAGTACAGTGCTGTCTGTCATAGGATAATAACCATACAGGTACAAGGAAGATAACTTAATAATGACTATTTTTCAGATTTGCACATAAAATACCAATGCCAAAAGTGAAGAAATTTACTTTTGTCAACTTACTCAGTCTGATAGTGATCAAACATGTACTCAAGATGCATTGATAATTACTGGTGATTTGATTGTGAAAGTTGGAAACAATGAAGTAGGAGGATCTGGAGTTGGAAAATAAGGCCTTGGTATCAAATTGACGCTGGAGATCACAGGCTAGAACTTGGCAAATCCAAAATGACCTATTCATTGCAAATAACCCTTTTACAACAACATAAATAGTGACTATATATGTGGACTTGACCAGATAGATAGAATATACAAGAATCAAATATAATAACCTCTGTGGACAGAGACAGTGGAGACATCAGTCACTACAAGGCAAGGGGCCTTCTACAGAACAGGCCATCAGTTGTCCATATATAAGTTCAAACTGAAGTTAAGAAAATAAAAACAAGACCATAACAGCCAGAGTACAAGCTAAGTGAATTCTACAAATTTAGAGACTACATCAAGATTAGATTTGACACATGTGATACTAGTGACAGAAGATCAGAGATGTTGTGGGTTGACATCAAGGACATCATACAAAGGGGCTTAAAAGCTTCATGAAAAAGTAGAATTAAAAGATAATGGAAGTTTTCCTGAACTTTTTGAAGCCCCACTGAACAAAGTAAATGGTGAAAGGTCATTTGAAAGACATGAAAGAAAGAAAAGACCAAAATGGATGTCAGAAGAGACTCTGAAACTTGCTCTTGAACGTAGAGTAGCTAAAGTGCATAGGCGCTGTGGGGTAATGTGCAAAGTTGTTTTGAAACAAGGTCAGCAGTTCCAGCTCACCAGTAACTTCTTGGAAACCCTATACAGGGTCTCTACGGGTCAGAATTAACACTATGTCACTTAACAACAACAATAAAACATAAGTTCTAGAATGAAAAACTTACTTTAAATCAATATTTCAAGTCTCAAAAGAGTTATATGGAGTTTGTGATCACTAAAATTCTGGTTAGTAAGTATGTTCACTTAACCTTTGTATCCCATTGTAATTATTATTTGAAGTTTGTGAGTAAATCAATAGTAACATAAAGAGGTTTTTGTATCATTGGAAAATAACCAAAGTAAATGCTTTATTGTGATCGTTTCACAAATTTTTCCAAAGACCATAGGATTTTGATAGCAAAATAAAAATAATTTCTCCAGTTACACTATAGGATGAGAATGGCAAAAAAAAATTCAAATAATATTTTGTCACTAAAACCAAATAATACATTTTTATTGTTTAAAAGATGTGGCATATAGCTGCTGAGAAAGCTTATTGATTATGAAATTATGTTTAACTGTAAATTGTTAATCCAGAGTCTTGATAATAAATCTCAATAATGCATGTTACCATTTTTAATATTTTACTATGTGAAATGTTTCAAAAAATATTTGATACTTAAATTTCTTTAAATGAAACATATAAAATTTATATGGCATTCTGACATGATTCTTTGTCTGTACAGGATTGAATCGCAAGATTTCCTACTCACTAATTAACTCTGCTGATGGACAGTTCTCCATTAATGAATTATCTGGAATTATTCAGTTAGAGAAACCTTTGGATAGAGAACTACAGGCAGTATATACTCTTACCTTGAAAGCTGTCGATCAAGGTTTGCCAAGGAGATTGACAGCCACTGGCACAGTTGTTGTATCAGTTTTGGATATAAATGACAATCCTCCTGTGTTTGAATACCGTGAATATGGTGCCACAGTGTCTGAGGACATTCATATTGGAACTGAAGTTGTTCAGGTGTATGCTGCAAGTCGGGATATTGAAGCAAATGCTGAAATCACCTACTTAATAATTAGTGGAAATGAACATGGAAAATTCAGCATAGATTCAAAAACAGGTATTGTACCATGTAGCGCATTGTCCTACTGGAAAGACTAAATTGGTGCTGTGGGTTAATGCGCTGAAAAACAAAGTCGTTTGAACCGCATAGCTGGCAATTTAAGCTCACCAGCTCTTCCTTGGAAACCCCATGGTTCCAAATTGACTTGAAGGTTCTTAACAACAACAGTAATGCAAAGTGACAGAGTATCCTATTTTTATTGAAATAATTTTTTTTTTTTAAATAGCTAATCCTCAGGTATTTTCTAAGTGGGTTCTGTACTTTTTCTAAATTGATGTATTTTTAAAATTAGCATAACTCACGAGCATACCAGAGGGGAGGACTCGGTTTGCAAAAAAAAAAAAAAAAAAGGGTGTGTTTTTTGTGTAAAAGCCACAGTACATATTGTCAGTAGATGCTTTAAAGAGATGAAAGTGCAGTTTTTTGCTTTTTGGTTAAGTGGAGTTGAAAAGAAGTTTAGAAGACATTATGCTATAGTTTTCCATACTAAAATAACATTTTCTGGCATATCCAATTAAAACTATGAGAAAGTTAAATATAAATAGATAGGTAATTTTCACATACTAGTAATATAGTAAAATACAGAATATGCTACGTTTGTAAAATGAAGAGTGAGAGCTAGTAGAAAATAGTGACCTGTCAGAATTTTGTTTTTTGTTTTTTTTTGCCTCTATCAGAATCTTGTGAAATTGCTTCCCAAGTAAAATAGTGGTTATAATTCTTTCATCTTAGTTTCCAGAGTGACTCTCTGATGATCCATTGAACTGACTTCTTTATATGCTATTTGTATGTAACAGTTCAAGTATAGTCAGTCCCTAGTTTATGAATGAGATCCGTTCCCTAAGTTATGGATAAGATCCATTCCCAATGGTGTCTTGTCTTTAGTACAGTAAAATGGTCGAGGCCTTTTCGGTGCTTACAAATTTGCACGTGCAACAAGGGAAGGTGATAAAGAATTTGAGAGTAGGGGTTGGGTCAGTCATTTCAAAGGGAGCTCTCAGTTACATAATATTTAAAGCAGGGTTTCAAAGCTGATGGCCATCTGGGCTCTTTTGAATGTGTGTTTCTCCACAGTCCTGCCAGCAGTCCAATCTCACTCATCAGGCTCCTGAAAGAGCTCACTGTCTTTTCTGAATCTCCCATTCATAGGTTAAGAACCATAATTTTTCTGATTGCAGATACTTGATGAATCTCCCAAATTGTAAAAATGCTAGTTTGTACCTATTCCCATCATTAGTGTCTTCACATATGTCCCGAATTTTTCATTGATGACCTTCATAATTCTGGGATTCATATTTAGGTCCATAATCCACGTTGAGTTGGATTTTGTATAAGGCGAGAGGTGAAGGTCTTCGTTTCAGACTTTTGCATATCATTTTCCAGTTCTGCCAGCACCATCTGTTGAAGAGACT